TCCCCCCCCTCACTCCCACTCACACTCTTTCTTTCTCACCTTTCCCCCTTCACCCCTCTCTCGCTCGAGCTGGCCGCAAACAAGTAGGCACGTGTGTGTCCATTATTTCTTTCTTTCCACTGTTAAATCACAAAATATTCATTAAAAGAATTGATAAAACTGTCCATTGCTTTATGATGCCTTAAAATTTTGTACATATTACCTACATACATATATGTATATTATAGATTTTTAATTGTTATATTTGACTTACTTTTAACACTTTTGATATAACAATGTTTAACTATTTTATTAAGCTATTTGCAGTTAACTATATTTATATGAAGTTATAATGTATATTATAATTTCTCGTGTATCAATCAGGAGTGTTAGCTTCTTTTGAGAAACTATCATTTGTGCGTTGTTAACAAACACATTGTTTTGTTTGAAGTGCGATTGGACGTAAACTTGCAAGCTGTAACAAAATGCAAAGTATTATCAAATTGAGAAAAAATTAACTTATTTTTCCTTTTATTCAATTAATTATAAAACTCATATAACAATTATAATAAAAGAATTTTATTAATGTAATATAAGTATGCACACTCAAAAAGTCGGTAAATTTACACAACAAAGATGTAAAAATTACACGATAAATAATGGGAACAGTGGCCCACTCATAAGGGGGGCGAGGGAAGGGGGTTAAAACTCCCTAAAATTGAATTAATATACTTTATTTTTTTATTAACTTAACAGCAAAAAGTAAAAAATCTGTAGTTAAATAAAATGCGTTCAAATATTTGTATTTTTTGTCTGTTATTAATTATAATCATAATTTTAATAATTCAAAATTCACATCAATATTCTTGCACACAAATAATTATGATAGCTTCTCCAGCTATACTGCTGTTTGAGCGTATACCTATAATATCTATTGTACTTTAAGATATTCATATTGTGGAAAGATTTAAATAAGTTACTTAAGAAACATCTAGCAGCCATATATATAGACAAATTTTCTAATTATTTAAGCAATCCAGTTAATCTGATTATTTATAGAAAAGCAAAAAACTTGATATTAATTTATAATTATGCTACTATAAAATAAATTTATTTTTATTAAACAATGTAACATTTTTATATTTTTTAGTGTGCAATATAAAATTATCCTGACTTTTGATCATACTGTTTCATTTTGTGTGTAAATTTTAAGCCCCCCCCCCCTGAAAAAAATATCCTGAGTGCGCCGCTAAATGGAAATATACTAGTATAAAATGTATGAAATTATGTAAATTTGCAATATATATTTAGTGAATTTCTGTTATTTATCATGTAATTTTTACATCTAATTTTGTAAATTTATCGATTATATTTTCAGTATAGAACGCCGTGTTTAATTATGGTTATATTACCTTATTATGACTGCATAATTGAACATCAAGCATACTGTTACTTATAATTATACATTTTCTTCATTTTTGTTTTTCCTTACATTTTTACGTTTTGTAAACATGTGGATTAGTTCTCTGCGAAAAGTTTGTCCCGTTGCGCAGTAGAGAACAAAATTTATACTGTAATGTGCTGTGTCCAATAACTTGAATATTATGTACATAACAAGCAAATTGACATATTTAGGTATCTGAAAAAATTATTATTGTTATTTTTGTTTTATATAGCCATTAATAATAACATATCGTATTTCAATGCATCCATTTTCTTACGAGAATATCTAATATAAAAAAACTATTGTATAATTTCATTCATAATGTAAAAATTAAACAGTATAAATTATTTTTAAAATTTCCAACTTTAAAAAAAAATTAATTAATATTTTTTTGTCATATACAGAATGCATTTTCAGAGTAAATAAACAGTATATTATGGTCGGTATTATTTTAGTATAAATTATTGATACGTACGTAAATAGCAATGTAAACAAAGTAATGTGCAGGTAATTTCAAGATTACAAATATGCTTGAAACGAGAATTAGCATTCTTGTGATTTTATACTGCAGCTTTTTATCACTAGAAATCTGAGTTCTCTCATTAGAAGAATCGGACGCTGTAATCAACATTTTGCGAACACGATTTTGCTGGTAAATGTGATATCCTATCAGAGTATTGCAGATTACTATCACGAGAGCAGGTAGAGTAAATAGCGTAATAGATTCTATAACGATATGTATCTTTTTAAATTCTGTTTGTTTTTCGAATTTTATATATCTGTATATATTATAGTCATTTATTCCTTTTTTTTCAAAATATGATATTTTATCTTGATAATACATGACCCCAATAAGTAAAAAAACATGTAGAATGGTATATAAAATCGCTAGTCCAATCAGTGTGATTACTACGATTTTTGCTCGTTTGACAGTGCACCAAGCTCGACGTAGAAGCGGATACTTTGTCACTATATATCGCTCAATGGTAAATAGCGTTTTCGATTATACAGGATTTGAACGACCCAGGGTTGATCAATCACTATTTTACTATAAATGCAAGTCTTTCATTGGTGGAGAGGTTGCAATGACGTCATTAACCAACCCTGGGTCGTTCAAATCCTGTATAATCGAAAACGCTAAAAGACTACTACAAGCCACACACTCATGAACTCGGAAAAGAAAGTCAGAATGTCCACCAAAAAATTTAACCAAAACAAATAATTTTTATCTAGATAGATCATTAAAACGAGCCATTGGATGAGTAATATTATTGAATAAGCGATGTCGCATATTGCTAGCACGCCCAAATAGATGTTGGACGAAAAAGAACGCATCTTTTTACGGAAGAGCACACTGGCAGACAAACAATTTCCTAAAAGACCCAAAATGATAAAAATCGGCAGACTGTATTTTCTGAAATTCATATCGGTTTTCACACCATCTGCAATTGCATGATACATGTAATAAAAGGAATACAATTGATTTATGAAGTAAGTGATTGGAAAATGTTTGCCTACAATATCTTCGCGCGCGTTACATAAATCTTGAAATTTTTTAATTCTACTTATGTTTACAAGTGGATGAAGCGTCATGAAATCTAAACTGTGGAGATAAATAAAAATTTCGGCCATGTTTCGCAAACTTTCGTCAAGATCTCTTTCGTTATTACAAACATGCAATCCTAGTTCGTGTTTAGATATTCTGGAATAATCTTTGCCGAGATTATTTTCAGAAAACATCCTGGCTTATGATTATAGATTGTTTGTTAACAGTTGCTTATGAAATAAAAAGCAAAAACCGGTATAATCAAATTGCGTCACACGTCTGAAAAAGCGTTATAACATTATTATATATATTATTCATTGAAATTAATAAATCTTGTATATAAATTTTATTTATTAATATATTTATTAAAATAATTTTTTTTTATTATTAAAAGAATAAAATATACAAAATATATAAAATATATATAGTATTTTAAACATTTAAAGTAAAATGTTTTACGGACTATCTCACTTACCAGAGAGTCGTTACTAATTCTGAAGTCTATGAATACAGGCGTTACAAACTCTCAGCAATTCTTAGATTACAATCATTGAACTGCTAACCACTGACGATTGCAACAAACTGAATGTCGAGACGACTGACTCAAATGACGGTATTATTTCTTTCTGGAAGTTTGCGGCTTACCAAAATGATTAACATTTTGACTATAACGTTGTCCATATCCGTTGACAAGTGAGTTTCTGCAGGAAACTGTCGCTGTTTGAAGGTATTAATAATCGCTATCATTAAAAAAAGCATTAAATATTATTAAATTAATACATAAAATTTATTAAACACAAATTTTTTTTATTTTTTTTATGAAATATATTATATTGAATATAATTTTTTTATTAGTTTAATAATTATGATTGAATGGCAACTGTAGTTATTATATACTATGTATGGAATTATAACAAAATATAGAGCAACAAAATAATTGAGTTTGTGTTGTTTAATTAATTTTATACTTTTAGTTAAATTAAGAGTTATGCACTTGTATGCAAAGTTATCGTTTTAGTATTTTAGGAAAATTTCGATTGCAATATTTATTTTACAAATTTAATTACAAAATAATAGCGTATTCTAAATTGATGATTGCTTTCTTTTTTTGACCACTATTTTTGACGCCGGATACAAATTCAATTTATATCATTAATTTAAGTATATTGATAAAAAATGCTCATAACATAAAAAGATGCAATATATAGTACATATAATAGTTAAAAGTCACACAACGTGTTAAAAAGCGTTTATTACATGGAATAAAACATGTACATTTGTAGTAAGTAATATAATGAGACGTGTGCTTGTATATCAGTACATTGGCCGGTATAGATTTGTGATATGATAACATGTAAATAAAACATTTTTAAAATCTTTTTTCCTTCTTTCAAAAATATTTTTGTAATGAAATAATATTTACGCAACATTGATGATAACAAATTGACTTTGCATTACGATCTAAGTTATAGCTCATCTTCTAAGTTATGGTTCACAATCATTAAGAGAATTGATAAAACTGTCCTTTCCTTTAGATGTGATAAAATAATGCATATAATATCTACATATGTGTGTTTCATAGAATTTTTCTATTGCTGTTTTTTATTTACATTCAATATTTTTAATGCAATAATATGTTTAGCTATTTTATGTAACTATTTGCAATTAATTATATTTTAATAAAATTATAATGTATTAATTATAATTAAAATTAAAATTATAATTATAATATTCCGTGTATATCAGCAGAGTTAACACCTCTTGAGAAACTTTCAATTGTGTGTTGCTTACAAACATATTGCTTTTTTGTTTGAAGTGCTGTTGGACATAAATTTGTAAGCTGTAAGAAAATGCAAAGTATTATCAAATTGAGAATAAATCGGTTTATTTTTGCTTTTATATATTTAATTATAAAAATCATATAACAAAGATAGTAACTTTTACATCTAGTTTTGTAAGTTTATCGATTTTATTTTCAAGATAGAACGTCGTGTTTAATTACTGTGGAATTACCTTATTATGATTGCATAATTGGACATCATTTATACTGTTACTTATAATTGTACATCTTCATATTTCTGTTTTTTCTTATATTTTTACGTTTTGTAAACATTTGAATTAGTTCTCTGCGAAAAGTTTGTCCCGTTGCGCAGTAGAGAACAAAATTATACTGTAATCTGCTGAGTTTAATAAGTCGAATATTATGGACATGACTACCACAATGACATTATCAGTTTCCTGAAAAAATTATTATTGTTATTTTTGTTTTTTATAACCATTAATAATAGCATATCGTATTTCAATGCATCCATTTTCTAGCGCGGACATGTAATATAAAAAAATTATTGTATAATTTAATTTATAATGTAAAAACTAAACAGTATAAATTATTTAGAAACATTCAAATTTTAAGATAAAATTAATTAATATTTTTTTGTCATATACAGAATGCATTTTTAGAGTAAATAAGCCATATGTATTATGGTTGGTATTGTTTTAATATCAATTATTGATACGTACATAACTAAAAATATAGAAAACGTAATTAGCTAATTTCAAGATTACAAATATGCTCGAACCGAGAATATGCATTCTTATGATCTTATGCTGAAGCATTTTGTCACTCGAAATCTGAGTTCTCATTAGAAGAATGGGACACTGTAATCAACATTTTGCGAACACGAATTTGCTGGTAAATGTGGTATTCTATCAGAGTATTGCAGACTACTATCACTAGAGCAGGTAAAATAAATATTATAATAGAATCCATAATATTTCTTGCCCAACTACTTTCATCCGGACTGTCCAAATTTAGTTTGTATACATCATAGATTCCTATATTTAAAAAAAAATACATTTTATCTGAATTATAATATAAATTCGTAGAATGTTACGTAAAATCGCTAGTCCCCCCCCCCCCCATCAGCGTTATCACTACGATTTTTGCTTGACAGTGCAATAGGACAGGACCGACGTAGAAGCGGATATCTTGTCACAATATATCGCTCGATGGTAATGGCTACTATAAGCTACACACTCAAGAACTCGGAAACAAAGCTCCAAAAATCCATTATGAAATGTATCCAATACAAATAATTTTCTATTGAACTTATATATATTATGATGAGATAGTAAATCAGTATTATCATCGAATAGATGATGTCGCTCATTGCTGATACGCTCAAGCAAATGTTGGACGAGAAAAAACGCATCTTTTTACGAAAGAGCACAATGGCGGACAAACAGTTTCCTAAAAAACGCAGAATAATAAAAATCGGCAGACTGTACTTTCTGAAATTTAAAAATGTCTCTAAAGCATCTGCAATTGCATGTTGTATGTAAAAAAAAAAAAAATTTTATGACGTTAATGATTGGCGAATGTCTGCCTACAATATCTTCGTTACATAAATCATGAAATTTTTTAACTCTACTTATGTTTACAAGTAAATGAGGGATCATGGTACGTATTCCGTGGATATTAAGTTGAATTAAATATTTGGTCAAGTTTCACAAATTTTCGTTAAGATCTCTTTTGTTGTCACAAACATGCAGTCGTAGTTCGTGTTTAGATATGCTGAAATAATCTTTGCCGATATTATTTTCATATAACATCCTGCGCCCGATTATGGAAGGTTTGACAACAGTTGATTATAAAATGAAAATAAAAAAGCGATGTGATCAAGTTGCGTCACGCGTCTGAAAAAGCGTTATATCATTATTATATTATATATGTTATTCATTGAAATCAATGAATCTTGCATATAAATTTTATTTATTAATACATTTAATAATATAATTTTTTTTATTGTTATTAAAATAAAATATACGAATTACATAAAATATATACAGTATTTTAAACATTTAAAGTAAAATGTTTTACGCACTATCTCACTTACCTGAGAAATATTAAAAATTCTGAAGCTTACGGGGGTTACAGACTCTCAGCAATTCCCCAATTTTAATTGTTCAACTGCTAAACACTAACGATTGTAAGCGACTGAATGTCGAGACGACTTGAATGATGATATTATTTCTTCCTGGAAGCTTGTGGCTTACCAAATGTTTAACATTTTGATTATAATGTTGCTTATATCCGTTGACGTGTATGTTTCCGCAAAAGTCTGTCGCTCTACTAAAGTATTTTTAATGACATTAAAAGGAAGCAATAAATTATTAAAATAATACGTAAAGTTTATTTAAAACGGATCTTTTTTATTTTCTCATAACAGATATTTCATTGAATATAGTTTTTATTAGCATTATATTTATGATTGCATGGCAACTGTGGTTATTATATATTACGTATTGAATAACTACGACATTATAATATTTTATTTTGTACACTTTAATTACACTTTAATATTATATGTTTAGTTTTATTAAAATTTATATAGTTGCATGCAATATTATCATGCTACTATTTTGGGAAAACTTTATTACCAATATTCGTTTGAATAATGAACAATATTTATTAACACATTCTAAATAAGTTGATGAAATTGCTCTCTCCTTTTGACAACTGTTCGCAATGGCAATTATAAATTCAATTTTTATCATAAACCTATTTGTAAGTATATTAGTCGAAAATGCACAGAACATAAAAAAAAAACAAAATGTACATGAAATAAATAAAAATTACAATAATTGATTAAAAGCGTTTCTTATATACAGGGTGTCTGGCAATAATCGCCCCACCGGTCACATACAGGTAGAGGAGGTCAAATCGAGTAGAAAAGTCCTTTACCATTTTTTAATTTTCATAATAAGTACTGAGTAATTAACGAAAAAAGATCGGCGAATCCGCGCGAGTAAAGCGCGCGCGGTGAGAAGGACATCCCACTGCTATGCGATCACTAGGCGCGCGATGAAGCGTTGGGAGGAGCGCTCTACAAATGACAATGGCAACATACGAGCGGCGCGTAACGCTAGATCCTTGTGTCCTAGTGATCGCGTAGCAGTGGGACGTCCTTCTCACCGCGCGCGCTTTACTCGCGCGGATTCGCCGATCTTTTTTCGTTAATTACTCAGTACTTATTATAAAAATTAAAAAATGGTAAAGGACTTTTCTACTCGATTTGACCTCCTCTACCTGTATATGACCGGTGGGGCGATTATTGCCAGACACCCTGTATAGAAAAGCGTTTATCATTTTGTATAAACAAGTAATATGCACGTGTGTAGTAAGTTAAATTATCAGACATGTGCATACTAGTATATCAATACACTGATATGGATATTTGTGACATAATAACATATAAGTAGAACACAATTCGTTAGTAACACGTTTTTGTCATTTTAGAAAATATTCCTGTAATAAAAAGATGTCATTTACGTAACTTTGATGATAACAAATTGTTTTTGCTTTACAATCAATGGTGTGATAATTTTCCTATTTGAAATAATTAAAAATTAATATTTTTCTAAGTTATATAAATTAACATTTGTTAACAGAATTGACAAATCTGTCGTTTTGTTTATAGTGCGCTGAAACATTCTACATATTACCTACATATTTGTGTATCATAAATTTTTTTCATTGTTACTTTTGACTTACTTTTAACACTTTTGATACAACAATGTTTAACTATTTTATTAAGCTATTTGCAGTTAACTATATTTATATAAAGATATAATGTATATTATAACCTCTCGTGTATCAATCAGGAGTGTTATCTTCTCTTGAGAAACTTTCAGTTGTGCGTTGTTAACAAATAAGCACAATGTTTTGTTTGAAGTGCGGTAGGACGTAAACTTGCAACCTGTAACAAAATGCAAAGTATTATAAAATTATAAACAAATTTTCTTATTTTTGCTTTCATACATTTAATAATAAAAGTCTTATAACAAAAATAGTATAAAAATTTTTAATTAATGTAATACTTATAAGTATGCACATGTCAAAAAATTCGATAAATTTACACAACGAAGATGTAAGAATTACATAATGATTAATGGAAACAGGATGTAATTAGTGAATAGTATAAAATTTATAAAATTATTTAAATTTACAATATATATTTAGTAAATTTCTGTTATTTATCAAGTAATTTTTACATCTGACTTTGTAAATTTATCGATTTTATTTTCAGTATAGAACATTGTGTTTAATTATGGTATTATCTTATTAAGACTGCATAATTTGTCATCAAACATACTGTTACTTATAATTATTCATCTCCATGATTTCTGTTTTTTCTTATATTTGTACATTTTGTAAACATGTGGATTAGTTCTCTGCGAAAAGTTTGTCCCGTTGCGCAGTAGAGAACAAAATTTATACTGTAATGTGCTGCGTCCAATAAGTCAAATATTGCGACCATAACTAACGAAACGTTATATTTAGGTATCTGAAAAATTATTATTTTTATTTTTGTTTTATATAGCCATTAATAATAACATATCGTATTACAATGCATCCATTTTTTTAAGCGGAGATTTAATAAATTATTGTATAATTTCATTCATAATGTAAAAATTAAACAGTACAAATTATTAAAAGTACAATATTTTAAAAAATTCAAATTTTAAGAGAAATATTAATTAATGTTTTTTTGTCACATACAAAATGCAATTTTAAAGTAAAAAGACTATATATTATAGTCGTTATTTAATATAAATTATTGATACGTACGTAACGAGTAATGTAGAAAAAGTAATGCACAGGTAATTTCAAGATTACAAATATGCTTGAAACAAGAATAAGCATTCTTGTGATCTTATACTGAAGCATTTTGTCACTAGAAATCTGAGTTCTCTCATTGTCAGTAGCAGAATCGGACGCTGTAATCAACATTTTGCGAATACGATTTTGCTTGTAAATGTGATATCCTATGAGAGTATTGCAGATGACTATCACGAGTGCAGGTAAAGTAAATATCATAATAGAATTCATAATCATATTTTTAAGTGCAGCGCTTTTTTGAATGTCCAAATTTAGATGTTTGTATAAATCATAGCTACTTATATTTTTTGTTTTTAATATTTCATTCGAATAAGTCATGGTCCAAATAAAAAGAATGTCGAACAAAATCGCTAGTCCCATCAGCGTGATTACTACAATTTTTGCTCGTTTGACAGTGCACCATGATCGACGCAGAAGCGGATACTTCGTTACAATATATCGCTCGATGGTAAAGGCTACTATAAGCCACACGCTCAAGAACTCGGAAAAGAATTTCGAAAACTGTTTCAAGTAAATTAACCATACAAAGTATGCGTTATTCATTGATTCTATATCTATTAAAATGAACCAATAAATGAGTAATATTATCAAATAAGCCATGTCGCATATTGCTAGCACGCTCAAGTAGATATTGGACGAGAAAGAACGCATCTTTTTACGGAAGAGCACACTGGCAGACAAGCAGTTTCCTAAAAGACCCAGAATAATAAAAATCAGCATAATGTACTTTCTGAAACTTATAGAGGTCTCAAAAGTATTTTCCAGTGCATAATTAAGCTTAGAATAAGAATCAAATTCATATATGACGTCAGTGATTGGAAAATAACTGCCTACAATATCTTCGTTACATAAATCTCGGAACTTTTCAATTCTACTTATGTTCACAGGTGACTGAAGCGTCATGAAACGTATATTGTAGAAATAAATAAAATCTTCGGCCATGTTTCGCAAACTTTTGTCAAGATCTCTTTCGTTGTTACAAACATGCAATAGTAGTTCGTGTTTAGATATGCTGGAATAATCTTTGCCAAGATTATTTTCAGAAAACATCCTTGCGTATGATTGTGGATTGTGTGCAACAATTGATTGTGAGATGTAAACGAAAAGCAAAAAGGTATAATCAAGTTGCGTCACGCGTCTGAAAAAGCGTTGTAATTATAATGTATGTTATATTTATTGAAATCAATTAATCTTGCATATAAATTTTATTTATTAATATATTTATTAAAATAATTTTTTTTTATTATTAAAAGAATAAAATAAACAAAATATATAAAATATATACAATATTTTAAACATTTAAAGTAAAATGTCTTACGGACTATCTCACTTACCAGAGAATCGTTACTAATTCTAAAGTCTATGAATACGGGCGTTACAAACTCTCAGCAATTCCCAGATTACAATCATTGAACTGCTAACCACTGACGATTGCAACAAACTGAATGTCGAGACGACTGACTTGGATGACGGTATTATTTCTTCCTGGAAGTTTGCGGCATACCAAAATGATTAACATTTTGACTATAACGTTGTCCATATCCGTTGAAATGTGAGTTTCTGCAGGAACCTATCACTGTTTGAAGGTATTAATAATATTATTAAAAAAGCATTAAATATTATTAAATTAATACATAAAATTTATTTATAACAAAATTCTTTATTTTTCTCATAAAAGATATTACAGTAAACATAGTTTTTTATTAGCATAATATTTATGATTATCTGGCAACTGTGGTTGTTATACATAACTGTGGTTGTTATAATACGTATTGAATAACTAAAACATTAAAATATTTTATTTTGTACAGTTTAATTAATATTATATATTTAGTTTTTTTGAGATTTTACATTTGTATGCACAATACCGTACTACTGTTTTAGGAAAACTTTATTACTAATATTTGTTTGAATAATGAACAATACTAAATTAGTACATTCTAAATAAATTGATGAAATTGCTCTCTTCTTCTGACAACTGTTTGCAATGGCAATTATAAATTCAATTTTTATCAAAATGTATTTTTAAGCAAAATTTACATGTAATAAATAAAAATTGCAATACCTGTTTAAAAGCGTTTCTTATATATAGAAAAGCATTTATCATTTTGTATAAACATGTATATTGCACGTGTATAATATGTGAAATTATCAAACATGTGCACACTTGTAAGTATATTAATACACTAGCTGATATAAATATTTTGACATAATAAGATATAAGCAGGGTTGGGAAAGTAATTTTGTAAAAGTATCTAGTTAAAGTTACAGTTCTTTTCATTGAAGAACAACTAGTTACAGTTACAAGTTACCGATTCTAAAAAAAAACACGTTACAGTTATAGTTACTCAAAAAGTAACGAGTCGTTACTTTTTAGTTACTTTTTTGCAATAAATGTGCACTACTATTTTAAATATACGAATCTTACATTTCAAGATTTATTAACTTATTATATACTACATAGGTACTTAATTTTATGTTGTATTATTTTATATGTAATAAATCACAATTGTTTTAAACTTAAAATAAAAATACATTTAAAATATTAAATTAATTAATAATTTAAAATAAATTATTCTAAGTGTATAATAATAAAAATAATAAAAAATTAATATAATATAATAAAAAGTAATATAATAAAAATTATAGGATTAAGATTTTTCAGTTTAAAAATTCACGAATTTCACACAAACAGTCGTAACTTTCCGAAAAATCGTAGACTAATGTTTCAGTTCTTCTTAAAGTCCCAATGTTATGCTTATGTGATAATTATCCTCAAAGATAATTTATTACTTGGTGGCAGTGCATTCTTTAAATGAAAATTTGTTTATTTCTGTTGAATTTCATAATTAATATCTATACGGTTATCCGTCTATTTATTTAACAAATATCGAATCTACACTAAATATGACAATTTTGTTTCTTTCCTTATGCATATGTTTATACAACTATGCAAGTTTGTCTGGATAGGCCCTAATTCTTGCAATTAATACAACCGTATATAGAATATCAAAGTAACTGTTAAATTAGTTACTAGTTACCATAAACATGTAACTAAGTTAAGTTACAGTTATAGATGAAGAAAAAAAAAACAAAGTTAAGTTATAGTTACCAAAAAAAAATAACTGTAACTGTAACTTCGTTACAAGTAACGAGTTACTTCCCAACCCTGCATATAAGTAGAACGCAATTTGTTAGTAACACGTTTCTGTCATTTTAGAAAATATTCCTGTAATGAATAGATGTCATTTACGTAACTTTGATGATAACAAATTGTTTTTGCTTTACAATCAATGGTGTGATAATTTTCCTATTTCAAATAATTAAAAATCAACATTTTTTCTAAGTTATATAGATTAATATTTATTAACAGAATTGATAAATCTGTCGTTCTCTTTATGGTGCGCTGAAACATTCTACATATTACCTACATATTTGTGTATTATAAATTTTTTTTAATTGTTACTTTTAACTTACTTTTAACACTTTTGATACAACAATGTTTAACTATTTTATTAAGCTATTTGCAATTAACTATATTTATATAAAGTTATAATGTATATGATAACCTCTCGCGTATCAATCAGAAGTGTTAGCTTCCCTTGAAAAACTTTCAGTTGTGCGATGTTAACAAATACAATGTTTTGTTTGAAGTGCGATTGAACGTAAACTTGCAAACTGTAACAAAATGCAAAGTATTATCAAAATAAGAATAAATTAGTTTATTTTTGCTTTTATACAATTAATTATAAAAATCATATAACAAAGATAGTAAACAAATATTTGATTAATGTAATATAAGTATGCACACTGTCCAAAAATTCGACAAATTTACACAACATTGACGTAAACATTTCATAATAAATAATGAAAATATACTAAGTAAATAGTACAAAATTTATAAAATTATGTGAATTTACAATATATATTTAGTAAATTTCTGTTATTTATCATGTAAATTTTACATTTAATTTTGTAAATTTATCGATTATATTTTCAGTATAGAACGCCGTATTTAATTATAGTATTACCTTATTATGACTGCATAATTGGACATTAATCATACTGTTACTTATAATTGTTCATCTCCATGTTATTTCTGGTTTTTCTTACATTTTTACGTTTTGTAAACATGTGGATTAGTTCTCTGCGAAAAGTTTATCCCGTTGCGCAGTAAAGAACAAAATTTATACTGTAATGTGCTGTGTCTAATAACTTAAATATTATGGACATAACAAACAAATTGACATATTTAGGTATCTGAAAAAATTATTATTGTTATTTTTGTTTTATTTAGCCATTAATAATAACATATTTCAATGCATCCATTTTCTTACAAAGATATCTACTAGGATATCTATAAAAAAACTATTGTATAATTTCATTCATAATGTAAAAATTAAACAGTATAAATTATTTTAAAAAATTCCAACTTTAAAAGAAAAAATAATTAATATTATTTTGTCATATACAGAACGCATTTTTAGAGAAAATAAACTGTATATTATAGACGGTATTTTTTTAGTATAAATTATTTATACGTACGTAACTACTAATGTAATCAATGTAATGTTCAGGTGATTTCAAGATTACAAATATGCTCGAAACAAGAATAAGCATTCTTGTGATCTTATGCATTTTGTCACTAGAAATCTGAGTTCTCTCATTAGAAGAATCGGACGCTGTAATCAACATTTTGCGAACACGATTTTGTTGGTAAATGTGATATCCTATCAGAGTATTGCAGATTACTATCACGAGAGCAGGTAGAGTAAATAGTGTAATAGAATCTATAACGGTCCTTATCTTTCTAACTTCTGTTTGCCTTTCAAATTTTATATGTTTGTATATATCATAGACATTCATTCTTTTTTTTTCAAAATATGATACTTTATCTAAATAATACTTGATCCCAATAAATAAAAAAACATGTAGAATGGTATATAAAATCGCTAGTCCAATCAGTGTAATTACTACGATTTTTGCTCGTTTGACAGTGCACCAAGCTCGACGTAGAAGCGGATACTTTGTCACTATATATCGCTCGATTGTAAAGACTACTACAAGCCACACACTCATGAACTCGGAAAAGAAAGTCAGAATGTCCACCAAAAAATATAACCAAAACAAATAATTTTTATCTAGATAGATATTTATTAAAACGAGCCATTCGATGAGTAATATTATCGAATAAGCGATGTCGCATATTGCTAGCACGCCCAAGTAGATGTTGGACAAGAAAGAACGCATCTTTTTACGGAAGAGCACTGTTACGTGCCGCAACTTATAGTTTCTTAGATTACTCTTTTTATTCGAACCTTTGAACCTTTTTTTATCTTTACTCCTTATTGATCCTAAACACATGACCCTTCGATAACTGCAATAAACATTAACACTGTCCCTATGCCTAACGCATAATTTCCCTTTGACAAAATTGCCTTCTTCCAATAAACATTCCGCTGCTAGGATTTTCCTACAGCACCTTAAACGAAGATCATTCTCGCCAGTTCAGTTCTCGATCAAAGCTCAAACCAGCAACACCGAATAAAGACTTTTTCCACAAACGTGTCCCGACTTATTCTAAATAATCTATTACGTAGCTATACGCTCGTAACAATTGGTGGCAGCGGTGAGATTGTTTGTGTGTAAAAGTGCGGAAATTTTTACTATAATTTTACTATGATTGCTGTTAATTAATATCAAGTGAAAGAAAGTTAGAGACCCGGAATTCGAGAAAATTTCGTAGCCAAGCAAGACTATCAAGTAGAAGAACCGAGGTCAATCATAACTTGGTGCTATCCTGACGAAATTAACAGGAGCACATTTCGATCAATCTGTTGAGATCCTGTCTGTTAGCCGATAAAACCACGACGTGTAGTTTACAACCTACCCCGAGGAAAAAGACATCAGGACGCTCCTGAACGAGCACAGCAGCTAACGAAGGAAAAGGACAGCAACAACGAGACTCCGTGGACGGCCAGCACGAAAAAAGGTCAACCTTCATCATCATCTCATCAACGTCATCATCATCAATTCATCTATATCTACCAGCGGCGTGAAACCATCTCGTCATAGATATGCTGCGCATCGTACTTCTGTAAGTCTATGAATTTTGTAAACTTTAGAGACACTAAAGCGCATTATAATACAGACAGTTTGGAAAGTAGTTCGTCGATTAGTTATATTAGCGATAATAATTCTAAACATAATCACGTAATCTCAAATTTAGAAACAATCAATATGAACGATCGAACAGAAACGGTAGAGTCAGCGCGAGGCGTAGATCATTTTGGCACAAATCTAGAAAGTCGAAGATCCTTTACGAGTAACAGTAGCTATTTTCCCGTCCGTAATAATTTATCGCTCATATCTGTTTTTAATGGAAAAAATATTCCAGTGACGCAATT